AAATGAAATGTGATACATAGGCACTTGGAATAAAGGAAAATCTAGCGCCAGTTTCAAAATTTTATTTTGCGCATGCGCAGTGCCAACTTTTTTTATCTATGGAACCATTTAAGTGAAATTTGATACTTAGGCGCTTGGAACAAAGGAAAATCTAACATTAGTTTTAAAATTTAGGTTTGCGCATGCGCAGTTCCAACTTTCTTATTTAGAAAAGTATTGAAATGAAATTCTTCTCATAAACTGAAATTGAAGTAGCACGTCAACAATGGATTGCCCATGTGCAACGCTATCTTTCATATTTGTGGCCGGATTTTTACGATTTTAACAGAAGTTGCATCTTACAAATGGGAAATGAATGCAAGTGGAAATGCACTTTATGTAAATCGTTTACGATTACTTTTTAACTTGTTTATATTTTTTCGTATTTTTTGTTTTTTCTTGTAAGTAGAAGAAAAACAGAAGGATTATAAAAACTATTTTACGTAAAACTGTTTTCCGTACTCTCAATTTGTATTTTTAACTCTAGCTTCAATAGTTTTGAAAATATTGAACAATTCGAACTATTTTGAATAGTACTTACAAAAATTCAAGATGCCGGCGCCATGACTGTAAAATCAAGGTTTGGAAGTAGCACGACGATTTTTCCTATTCCAGGACTGAGAATGTGCTCTTACCTTCTTGGAATCCTCTTTTGTTACATTTTCTGTCACATGTTACGGAGGTGGATGAATTTTAATAACTACACCGACACTACTACTATTTCAATCACAAAGGTTAAACTTGCTTACGTCTTTGACTTATAAAATACATAAAACCGAGTACTAAACTAAATATTCCGTTTATTAATGGGTATATCACCATACAATCGGCTTTCTCTTATCACAATCGATGCACGGTTCCTGAATCAACCTTGTTATCCCATTATCTTATTCAAAGGAGAGAAAGAATGACGGGTAAATATCTAACTCGCACTAAATATGCAACATGAAAAAAAAACACTGTAATCGATTTGCCTCTTGGATCGTGATGGCAGTACTATATTATCAAAAGCATTTGAAATAAATTACAATCTCCCTTTAAACTGTGAGACTGCCATACAACTTGCCAACAATAAAGGAATAATTGTATCTAATGAATGAAATATGTTACAGTACCTACAAAGACCGGAACGAGAAACGTTAATTGGTGGTTGTCAAAATTATGATGCTATGTTATTTTAAGCGCCGTTTATTTCCACTCAAATAAAAGCTAGTTGAATGGAAAATTATTACTGTGCAGTATATCGTATTTTGTGTTTACAATAAACTTCACCTGGTATTAAAAGAAATATAATATTGTTAAGTAATATTTCCTTAAATACGTTAAAATACGCTTTTCAACTAGAGTGATAGCATCATTGGTTTTTACGGCTGCTGAATAATTCACGCAAATTCTGTTTCTTCCACTTATACTTTACATACAACCCATTTAAGTCGGCCTTTATTTATGCAGTCATATAAACTTAAAGTATTATGGCATAAAAGACCATAACTTTATCAGTTGAAAATTCTCAAGTGCTTAAAATTTTCAAGTAGAACACCTCCTGTTGCATTATTTCTTTCCACGCGATCTAGATTTCAGACAATTTGTGAAAAGCCTTCCATTCCACATAAGATTTTAACCCGTAGGCATCCAAAATTGAGATATCCATAAAGCAGTATTTCACCACTATAAAGTGTACACGGACAAGTTTGGATGAAACAATTCGTGAAAATTGTTTCAAAGGGCGTTGTCTACCATGAACGCAAGTTAATTCGTTTCATTACTAAGGAAATGAAATCGTAATTCGCTTAGCTAAAGGTTTATTGCTCAAGCAAATAAAATATAAGCTAATGTTTGTTTCATTATTAGATTTTGGTGCGAGCATCAATTACCTACAAAAGATTAGGTATATCCACGCTTTACATAATCTAAATAGCAGTCTACTTGAATAAGGGTGGAACGTGGAAGAAATTTATTACTAGGCGATAATTTACTGTAATAGCTTAAATAGCTGGCATATTTTCCCTTTGTGGTTATTATTAAAGCTTTTGCCCTTCATTTTTGAATAGAAAGTTAAAATTCAGTTTGATGCCAGAGCTTGTTTAGCAGACGGGTAGATTTAAACTCGATTTGAAATTATTTAATGTGTCGATGGTGGTTGCTGGTGTTTATTATAAAAGCCTGGAAGTCGACCTCTCTCATTACAGGCCCCTTTTATTGCAGACATTTTAAGAGTCGGTCACATTAGGTTCAATGGTAGGTGACCGCCGCATCTTAGTTGTCAGCGGAGGTCCGCACTCTGGCGGGACTTGTTCTTCGATAAAGGCATCATTTGAATATGCTACCACTAGAACATGCACGAGTTACGCCACCCTAATAATACATAATCAAAAGTGACAAAGCGGTGACGCGATATGGTACTGATGGCTATGCCCAGTTTGAACTTCATGCAATTCGGTTCATAAATGGCCGAGATGACAAAATGGCACTATGAATGTTGAATCGATTAGGCTAAACTTTTGATATTGCGTATTATATCGCTAAATCTATGTGCAGTTTGAATTTCATGCGATTCGGTGCATAACTAAGAGAGATGTCAATACGGCACTCCTTTTTTTGGATCTACATTGCCAATTCACGAGTTCCCATCTACAAATTTAATAACGAATTTCACCGTAATCGGTACATCCGTTCTCTTTTAAATCGATGGACATGAAGCTATCGACCGAAAGAGCGAGCGAGCGATCTTGCGATGGGAGAAAGCATAAGCATTTCGCTTAATAACTCGACGCTGAAGGCCTCTTGTAATTTTTTTACTTTTATGTGATATTCCGTGTATTACTTAGTTGTTAAATATTGTCAGTCTTATAAAGTGTTATACACTACCGCTCTTCCCCCCCCCCCCTCAAATGTTGCAGCCAGGAGACCATAGCGGCACTCCATACTGCCGATCCATTTACCCATATACTGCTGACGGAACGACTGCCTATAAGACAGAGCATAATGTGGAAGAGACCCATCCTACTGAACGTGCAAATTTCCGTCGTGTAGCGCCCTTCAATCGACTCTCCAAAGATTGCATAATCAGTCGGTGGTTCTCAAATTGAATATAATAAAATTGGGAGCATTATTTAATTTTATAATTCAGTAGAAAGTTCTGAAGAGGTATGCAGCTATGCACAGATGTAAAACCAACAGAAATTACACCTATACCAAAATATGAACATTATCAAGCCATACAGGTCACTCTGTATATGAGAATATTTCAATTTATTAAGTAAGAAATTTAAATAAACACAAATGTTAAGTTCGTTTCATTTGAATATGTATTTCATTGTTTTTTTTTCCTTTTAGAATTGTTTGTGAAATGCATATTTTTGTTTAAAATGGTTGGCTTTGTAATTGTTTAATTTAGATAAGATGCTTTAATTTAGGTACATCTGGTCAAGTCTGCGACTTTATAAATAAAGGTTTCTATTTATTCGTTTGGGATAAGGGGTATGTATCAGGCAAAAGTTAATCGATTTCAAGGAAATGCCTGGAGCTGATAACGGAAATGTAGGTTTTACAGACAATTACGTGTCTTTTGGTTAGAGGTGGGGATGTTTTTAATGCATTCTTTTGAAGCTGCCATTATCAAAGCTTTTACACGCGTTGTCCGATTACGGAAAGTGTTTCGTCGAATTGAATAAACAGCGAGACCGTTTGTTCTCTTCTAAATTAAAAATGTCTATCGTCCGAACAGCCGCCGAAAACTGTGTCATCTTATTAATCAAGTTAGTCTTGTTTGTTATCTAATTCTGTGTTCAAAAGCTGGCAGCAGTTGTGTGTGAGTTAAGTGCGCCTAGTATCGCAAAACTTTTATGACCAGATTACATGGATTAAGAAAAAACTTTAAGTAGTTTCAGAGTTCTTATTCTAATTGTTTTTCCTTTGTTTCGGGGATTTTGTTTTAATTCTGCCATGTGTTTCGAAATAAATTTTTGTCTTTGAAAATCAATTGTGTGTTTATTTGAATCCAAAGTGCAACCAAAATACAGTTTTCATGACTTGTCTTTCGTGTCCAATGTTTATTTCAGCTGTTTATGAAAATTTGTGTAATATTATTAGTTACTCTTTGGTAATACATTCTTTGGAATTTTCAAACGTTGGTCGAGGACAGCGAGTTTCTCAAATTGAGAAATTTTGAGTCAATATTAGGATTTTTCTATTAGCAGATGCCGGATGTGTACGAGGACAGATGATAAAATTATAAAGTTCAATTTTGATTTGTTTTGGGCTAACTGAACAGGTGTTTTGTGGGTGGCGTAGTGACCACATGGGAGTAATCCGACGGACTGCAACTTTAGACTACGATACTGGAACCTAAATTTAATTACGTGGGTAACTTATTTACAACTAATTAACAATAAATTATAACAGTCTGGAAATGAATTGATTTATTATGCATAAAATATTATTTATCACTTATAGATACACAATTTATAACACCGCGAACTATTTATTACTTTGGCGTTGAAATTGGAACTGAACTCAAACACGCTTATATAGTGCAATGCAACGTTACTCGATGGTTTGCGAAACGTTTGGAAAAGGTTTAGAACGTGGATTATATTTCAAGGATGTCTACCAGGATTTTTGGTATATTCGTTACGATACCTTTGGTTGAACCTTATTTATTGCGCAAGTTCGTTTCGGGAAAGCGCATGAACTACATCCAAAAAGGGTATATACTAGACGAATAGGCCTTAGCTTCTGTACGTTTAACAAAATATCCTTGTGCTACTCGGATGTTCATTACAAACAAATGTCCCAAGTACTACTTCCACTACTATTCCCAGTCATATTCTTCGCCACTTCTTTTTGAGAAAATGTAAAGGGTCTTGTTTTGTATTTAGGTATCCTGGATATATACACATATAACGGAAGGATACTGAAATACATTTATTGCAAAACTATTACATTAAAGAAACGCGTGAGCTCTTTGACTTGCATTACGCGACTGGTGCAAGTCTGCTATCAGATAACAATTTCCCAAATACATATCATTCCTCCCTCACATAACATAAGTTATTTTATTGCGAACCAGTCAGGAGGTTTTCTGTTTCTGGTTGGGCGCAACATACTTCTAGAGTTAGTTACTACAAAATCATCTGCAATTGTTTCAGCTTCCCTAATTGGTTCCGGAGAACTAGCCTTTCCAACTGCAGATTCCTCTACTACATCATCGTCAACATTATTAACAATAGTTGCATTTGAATCAACAGTCAAAGGACGTGAATAATAATCTAATAAATCGTCATCATCGTAAGAAGGTCCTTTGATTATTTGATCCGAATGTCTTCTCCAGATAAAGTTTTCGTTAGTTAATGTCTTATAGTTTCGAGGTCCGTTTTGTTCTACAATTTCTGCAGGTACCCAACTCGGTTTAGCACGTCCATAATCGCGCACAAAAACACGATCACCTTTTTTAAAATTGCCTCTCGCACTCACTTTATTACGTTTCACTTCCGCACTGTTTCTTGTTAGTCTCTTCGGATCTCTCCCTCGTTCCTCTTTACGCAAATGCTGTCGCTTCAGCTGCTCTTCCGGTAAAATGAGATCCAATCGCATGCGTAGCTTTCTTCCTATCAAGAGTTCAGCTGGAGTAACACCCGTACTACTGTGAATGCTGTTCCTGTAGTGCAATAGGAAACGGTTTAATGCCGCAAAAAGATCTGTGGAATTCCTTTCTTCCATGGCCCTTAATATATGAGTTTTTACAGTACGTACCGAAACCTCTGCTAACCCATTTGTGGCAGGATGATATGGTGGTGGTGTAATATGCTGAATTCCATTCATATATAGAAAATGCTTGAAACATTCCGACACGAATGAACGTCCGTTATCAGTTACTACGATCTTTGGCAATCCCCACCGACTAAATATTTCTCGTAGCTTATCTACTGTATTTTCCGAAGTAATGTTCTTCATATAAACAACTTCTATCCACTTCGAATGGAAATCTACCACAATCATGAACATTTTATTATGCAGTGGACCAAAAAAATCAATATGCACCCTTTCCCACGGCTGTTCAGTTTTTGGCCACTCAATCACTTCAGCTTTCGGCGGACTGTTTCTGTGTTTAGAGCAAGCTAAACAATTTTTGCAAAATTCTTCGACGTTTTTATCGCACGAAGGCCACCATACAAATGATCTAGTTAATGATTTACTCTTAACTATTCCCATGTGTGTCGAATGTATCTCTTTTAAAACTTCTTTCCTGCAACGTGATGGTATGATTAACCGATGTCCCCACATCAATAGGTTATCTTCTATTGTAATTTGGTCTCGCCTAATATAATAAGGTTTCAGTTCCTCTTCTTTGCAGTCACTTGGCCAACCCTGTGACGCAAATTCGAATACTTTTCGCAATATTTCGTCGTTCCTAGTTTCCTCTTGAATAAATTTCTTATCAAGACGAAAAATATCTTGTTTTTCTATTAAGTTTAAGTAGGTAAAGTTTTTCGTCGTCGTCGTCCAAGTAATTTTTCATCTCGGTTTGATTGTCCTCAATCAATCTAGATAAACAATCTGCTACATTTTTATCCGATTTAACGTATTCAATGGTGTAATCAAACGCTGACAAAAATACAGCATATCGTTGTAAACGGTTTGCTGCCATTATCGGAATACCTTTCTTTGGCCCAAAAATCGACAAAAGAGGTTTATGATCGGTGACTAATACAAAATGACGACCATACAGGTACTGCGTAAATTAGATACACCAAAAATTATGCTATAAGCTTCTTTATCTATTTGAGAATAAGCCCTCTGAGTGGTTGTCAAAATTTTAGACGCAAAAGCTATTGGCCTTTCTTTTCCATTTTCGTATCGGTGTGTCAAAATTGCACCCACTGCGGTTGAAGAAGCGTCCACTGTCAACTTTACAGGAACTGCAGAGTCGTAGTGTGCTAATACATGTTTAGAAGATATCGTTTTCTTCAAAGTCTCAAAAGCTTGATCGCAGGTTTTATTCCAAATCCAAGAACTTTCGTCTTTTAACAACCTATAAAGTGGTTCACACATACTGGCAAAATTTGGAATAAAAGCGCGATAATAGTTAAACATTCCTAATACTGACTTTAATTCCGATTTATTTCTAGGAGGTATAGCTTTTAGTAATGCATCTACCTTTTCAGTAGAAGGTCTGAGCCCTTCTTCATCTATTACAAACCCTAAGTAATTAACAGATTTTTGAAAAAAATTGCATTTTTCTCTTCGCACTGTTAATCCATACTTCTCTAATTTATTAAGCACCAAATCTATTCTAAGAAGATGTTCTTCCTTATTTCTTCCCGCGATTAAGATATCGTCAAGGAAACACGTAACGCCTTCCAACCCAAATAAAACTTTCTCCATTATTAATTGAAAAATGGATGGAGCTGTTTTAATTCCATACGGCATTCGGTTATACGCAAATAAACCCAAGTGTGTACTTATGGTTGATAACGATTTGGCCTGTTCGCTTAATAAAATTTGTTGATAAGCCGAACTTAAATCAATTTTGGTAAAATATTTACCACCCGCTAATTTGGAAAATAAGTCCTCGATTCTGGGTAGAGGGTAGCTCACATTTTTCAAATATGGATTTAGTGTGATTTTATAATCACCACATATTCGGACAGATCCATCTCTCTTCAATACCGGAACGATAGGTGTTCCCCATTCGCTCATGACTATTGGGGATAGGACGTTTTCAGACACTAACCTATTAATTTCGCGTTCCACCTTTTCTTTTAACGAGAAGGGAAGTGGACGGGGTTTAAAAAATTTGGGTTCAGTCCCTATATTTTAAGTTTTAAATCGACCACTGCTTCCGTAAAAGTGCCTAATTTATTATTAAATACTTGAGGGTATTTATAAATTAGTTTCTCCACGTCGCCGCCAAACAGGTTCACATTATTAATTACTTTAAAATTTTGCTGATTTTTACAAAACCAATCACGTCCCAAAATTGGTGGTCCACCATACTTAATTACAAAAATATTTATTGGATGCCTATTGTTTGAGCATGTGATTGTCATTGACGCGACACCTAGTGGAGTAGGTAATAATTTCACCACTGTAACCTTTTAATTTAATTTTCGTTCTTTCCAAAATTTCGTCTGGAAAAAGTGTATCAAATAAAAACTCGTTCATTGCAGATACCGCGGAACCCGTATCCAGTTCAAATTGCAAATACACATTATTTAAACACGCATCAACTAAAATTGGTTCGCCACTCTCTGTGTCTTTAATAGTGCGAATGGGTAACAAAAATTGATTGTTAATGTCTAAACTGTACAATGTGTCCAGGTCATCGTCTACGTCCACAAAATGAGAGTTTGCGGTTTTCCGTGGTTGAATGTTTTTGTTGGCGCAAACACTCTGTAAGTGTCCTTTTCTACCACATTTGTGGCAATGATAGTTTTTGTAATTACACGCTGTAGATGCATGTGAATTTTTCCCACATACTCTACACTTAGTGTTTACGTCTTTGTCCCAATTACTAAATTTAGACTTCTTACCTTGCTGGTTGTTGAAACGTTTACCTTTCCCTACCAGATGTACGTCCAAAGGCTCTGGTTTTACGGCCGTCTCACTTTTTCGAGAAGTTGATGCTGCTCCAGGGTTTTGGTTATTGACACGTCGGTAGAAGAAATCCGCTTGATCATTGGCTATTTGATGTGATCTAGTGGCTTCTAGTGTTTCGTACGTCTTCGCCTGTTTCTCCGCTTCTTGAAACGTAACTTTCCTCACTTAGAAACAATTTGTCTTTAATTTTCCCGTCATTATAACCGATAATAAATTTATCACGTAAAATCATGTTTAAAGAATTACCGAAGTTACAATACGTTGCTAATCTACGAACACGCGCTGCCCAATCACTATACACAATTCATGTTTTTCCTTACGCGCCCCGTAAAATTGTTCCTTTTCCGCGAATATTGCACGTTTTGGATTAAAATGGTTATTGAATAACTCCACTAAACTATCGAAATATTTTTCTTCCGGTTTATCCGGCATGCAAAGATCCAACATTAAAGAAAACGCGTTATCACTTAACGCATTTAAAAATAAAGCACGTTGTTTATCGGCCTTATCGATATTATTGGCAGAATAATATTGTTTCATTTTACGCACAAAAAGGTCCCATTGATGAACGTTTGGGTCAAATTCGTGTAAATTGCCGTGCACGTTTTCAACTTTAACCGGATTTAATGCCATTTTAATTCACAATTTTCCACTGTTCCGATCACTAATCACAAATCGTCGCCACTGTTTTGTATTTAGGTATCCTGGATATATACACATATAACGGAAGGATACTGAAATACATTTATTGCAAAACTATTACATTAAAGAAACGCGTGAGCTCTTTGACTTGCATTACGCGACTGGTGCAAGTCTGCTATCAGATAACAATTTCCCAAATACATATCAGGTCTTATCATTACGGTTCCTCAGTTTTTTTTTACTATAAAGGTTTGCTAAAAATCATTCAACTTTTGATGGTTACGAACCCCAGTAGTCCTCGTCTCTATGTTCTTCAAAGTTAAAATATCAAAAAATGGTACTACGATGTGAACACTTTCAATTTAACAAAAAGCGTTTGTTGGGCGCTTTGTTACTTCGTATCGAAAATATTTGTGTTGGTTCTAGGAATTGAAGATAGAAGTTAAAGGTAATTGATTTATTTCTAGAATTGTGTTACAGTCACCGCTGCCGTAACTAACGCTGCAATTAATTCGCCGCTTTTAACCGTTCCCGTCAAGATATTTCAAGTGTCCAAAAGTTCTTGTCATTTAGAAGACGAGGGAAAATTGATATTTTAGAATTTCAGCCGCGTTACGCCATTATTAGCATGGTTCTGTGTCTATTGCTAATTTTTAAACGAGCGTTAAAACTGCAAGGTCATGTAGGTTTAGGACCCCGCCGATTGATCCCCAAAATTCAAATTAACATGTGTTAATTGAACTATAGATTTTTAGAAATTTCAATCCGGCCATTTAAGTAAGTAAAATTAACAGTAGCTAAATAAATGCGTTGTAGTAAACTTAATTGGTTTGAATTTTCGGACCAATTACAGACATTTAAGACGTCTGGGAAGGACGTAATTAATTAAAGAATTTTTAATTTTTGGACGTAGATAACCGAATACGCTGTGCCGGTTACCTCCAGGGCTTACCCGAATTTTATAAAAGGTAAAGAAAGAAAAGAGGATCTTTTGCATCTTTGCAAGTTACGTTTGTAAAGTACCGAAATTTTTGAGATTTTAATTTACTTTGGCAACCGTGCCGTATTTAAATAATCAACCTTTTTGCATTTGGTGTTTTAAGCGAAACGTAATTTTTTCTGCTTTTTGCACATTCGCAAACTACGTTTTGTAAGTACCGTAATTTTGACCTTTGCCCTAAAGTTATTCTGAATTCATATCGTTTAAGTTTTGCTTAAGTTTACCGCACCGTATCTATAGATTTTGGTTTTTCTTGCCCAGTAATTTCTACCGCTCCGTTTAATTGCAAGGTAAGCTTTTGGTTACATTCCGTTTCATTGATTATAAGATGGAGATACTGTTTCGCTATCCTCCATTTGCTTTCTCATAGATACAGCTACCGAATTCGATTCTTCACTGTTCACTGTTCGTTAGGGAAATTGCTGTGTTTTCGCATTAACCAGTAGTCGGCGCTGGAGCTGCCGTTTACTTCGCCAATCCGCTGCTACCGCCTTAAAATTAGAAAATGATGGATGATACTTGCCTTTGACTTTTGGGTGTGATCACTGAACGTATAATTTAGGTTTAATTGCATTTTCCTGTTGATAGCCATTAAATTCGTCAATGTTCAACAGTTGTAGATATTTGCTAAAACGATCATTCGACCTAGAATATTTGATTTTTGCCAATTTTAATAGCTCTCATTTCTAGATTGTTCCTAAAATACCCAAAAATAATTAATTACGAGATAATCATCATGAATCAGTTAATTATTTTTGTTTATTCCAGTCTGAAAACAATTTACTTGAATTGGCAATTATACAATTAATATAATTGAGTGTGGTCACTGAACGCCTAATTTGGTCATCTTTCCAGCTACACTGAAATGTTTAAACGATGAAGATTGAACATGATTACATAGTATTGCGAAAAGTATTATTAACCAGTAAAGCGGTACAAATTACAAAATTTGCCGGTTGTTTGCGGCAACGATCAGTTTCGAAAGTTAATTTCTCTGCAACTCCAATCCCTATTACCTTTGAACTACAAAGCGTCCCATTTTAACAATCACCTGTCGTTTTACGAGCAAAACACTAATTTTAATTTGTAAATACGCACAGAAAATTAAGAGTATCCAGCAAAAGCGAAGGTTGATATGTACAGCTACCATGTAAAGGTCTTGCAACGAGAGACAAACCGCGCACATTTTTGACAGCTGCTAAACACAGGCGATTAGAG